CATATAAGCCTTGTTCCATATAACATAGTGTATTTCCTTAGAAATTAGATATTTACTTTGCCCTAGTTCGGCAATGGAGTGCTAGCAAGACAGGGCCTACGCTGTGTCATTTCACATATAATGAATCATGGAAACCAGTTACTTTTATTGAAATAATGATCACAATATTGTATCATAAAACTTGTAGTTTATATTCATGATGGATCCCAGGAATATAGAAATTAACGTAAAGTGGTTTTGGGATCATAGGTTGATTGATAATTGAATAAATAGTTTATTAATTTGATTCTACTGATAAATAATGGTAAGACCGCATGTTTGCGGCATGTAGATGTTCCAGGGACCCTACGTTCGTCGGATTGTTGTTGCTATGGCAACGGGGTTCGTCTTGAATATTATGTGTTGAGGGTCGCCCTCATTTGGCTAACATGAATATGATCCCTGATGTATCCTTAGAATAGTTGGAAACGGAGAATAACATGTTTAGTTTTATAGTTGTTATCTTTGACTTTATATTAGAACGTCTTATGTATTTATTCATACTCTAGGTGAAGATAATGATGAATTCACTACACTATAGTACAGTGAGTTATCGTGGCTCACAGCTTTGTAAGTCTTATCATATCTCACAAGTTCAATCGTTAATGTTATAGTACAATTATAATAATCCAGCACTATATGACGTTTTCATGTCTTGTATGGTAATTCACATATGAATGTAATGACATGATGATACTGTATGTAATTTTATTGTTATTTACAGTTACCACGCAAACAAATGCGAGTGATCAAACAGGGTTTGTGAACAAACAATAAAAGGGTTATACTAGAGGAGCAATTTTGAGTCAGTCATTTGCGTCCTTTATAGTAAAAAGCTGTATACGAGATCTACTACGGAAGATGTCGAGCAAAACTAGTAAACTGAGTCAACTTGAACTGACAGCGGCACATGCCCGTGCTGATGCAGCGATGGAAGCTGCACGGACAGCTTTTGCAAAGAAAAAGGCAGAAGCAAAAATTGAGGCGTTAAAAGCGCAATTAGAATTGGAACGCCTACAGCGAGAGGAATCCCTGGCAGCAGCCGAGGCTAGGGCATCAGTGCTTGACGACGAGATTAAAAGTCATTGTGGAACTGAGTTACGTAGCCTGCCAGCAGAAGAGCCTGCAAAGAGAGTGTCTGAGTACGTAATGGCATTGCCTAACAGCAATAATATAATACCAACACCAATGCCAGCATTGGATGTCACACCAGAATGTTCAGTAGCTGATTGCGGAGGAATTAATCCCTCACCAATGGAGTATGTCAAAAAGCAGATTAATCCATCATCCAATGAAACTTGCATTGGATTAAGTGAGATCGTGAAAAATATGAAGAAGCCAAAACATGAAGTTAAACTATTTTCTGGAAACCCCATCGATTTTCCTAAATTTATCAGGCAATTCAAAAGTAGAATAGTATCAAATACTGATACTAGTGAAGAGAGAATGACATATTTGGAGGAACTAACTACGGGAGAGGCCAACAAGGTTGTTTGTGGTTTCAGTCATCTTCCTAGTGAAAAAGCCTATCAAGCGGCTATGGATCAACTTTCAGACAGATATGGTGACAACGAAGTCATCGCAAGCACTTACATAAAGAAAGCATTAGAATGGCCTACTATTAGGCCAGGAGAACCAAAGGCTCTAGATGAATATGCCTTATTCCTAGTAGAATGAATGCGGCAGAGCATGTAAATGCAAGCAAAATTTTGGAGTATCCCGAACACTTGAAGAGGTTAATGTTCAAACTACCAGTCTACCTACATGAAAGATGGCGGAATATAACATTGAACCTAAAGGAAAACAAGAAGCCTGTACTATTCAGGGACTTTGTAAAATTTGTGCAAAAGGAAGCTAAGAAGGTCAATGACCCAATTTTTGGAGCTTTAGGAAGGACAGCCACAGGAATGGAAACTCCGAGAATGGAAGTGAAGCCTAAACGTACGACGGTCACCGTAAGGCAAACTACTGTAGAAAGCGGTGTCAATGGAGAAGTTGTCTTCATGTGCCCCATCCATCAAGGATCGCATCCGTTTATAAAATGCAGAACATTCCTATCAAAGTCCGATGCTGAAAGAAAGCAGTTTATAAAGAAGCACAAGGTGTGTTTCAGATGTCTGGCATCTACGACTCATTTCGCAAGGGAGTGTAAAGCCGAGATCAAGTGTGGAGTTTGCAGTAGCCCCCGACACCTAGGAGTGATGCATATCCATAATCGTGAACAACAGACAACTCAAAATCCAGCACAAGCAAATACCACTGCTACTACAAAACCTGTGACCAGCAACTGTATGGAAATATGCAGAGATGGAGTAGGACGTTCATGTGCGAAAATATGTTTGGCCACTGTGTACATGGCAAAGAATCCTAACAAGAAAGCCAAAGTTTATATACTCATTGATGATCAGAGCAACAAATCATTAGCAGATACCAGAATCTTTGATATGTTGGGAGTTTTTGGAGAATTGATATGAAGACATGTAATGGGGAAAGAGAAACCAAGGGAAGAAATCTGAGTGGTCTTATTGTGGAATCTCTTGATGGGGCGACCAAGATAGAAGCACCAAGCTTGCTAGAATGTGCGGAAATCCCAGGAAATATGTCGGAGATTGCTACACCAGAGGTAGCGATGGCCTTTCCTCACTTGAAGTCGATAGCAGGACAGATCCCACCTTTGAATAAGAGTAGTAATGTGCTGCTGTTGTTAGGACGTGATGTCCCGCAAGTACATAAGGTTAGAGAGACACGCAATGGGCCCAACAATGCACCATGGGCTCAGAGGCTGGATCTGGGATGGGTAGTTGTTGGAGAAGATTGTCTTAATGGAGTTATAGGCCAAAAACTATCTCTACTTTACAACCGTGTCCGATTACATTTCAAATCCATACATTATTTGATGACAAATATGATTTCCTCAGTCTATCAGTTGAAGAAAGAAAGTTTCTTGAAATCATGGAGAAGGAAGGCGGACTTCGGGATGGCAAGTGGAGAGCACCGCTGCCTTTCAAGAAGCCAAGAGAACGTCTCCCAAATAATAGAGAGCAAGCATGGTCGCGAGCTCAAATACTCAGGAAAAGCATGAACAGAAATCCTCTTAAAAAACAACACATGCTTGATTTCATGGATGGAGTTATCAATAAAGGGCATGCAGAAGTTGCTCCTCCATTGAAGAATGATGAAGAGTTGCCGGGTTGTTACCTTCAAGAATGGAAATCTTGGAAAAATGATTTAAAAGAACTACAAAACATTTCAGTACCACGTGCGTACCCACTTACCTTTGGTGAAATGGTTGGACTTCATGTGTTTTGCGACGCATCGGAAGTAGCAGTTGCCGCCGTAGCCTACTTGGTCAGTAAAGAGTGTGAACAGAGACACACAGGTTTTGTCTTTGGTAAGTCGAGGTTAGCACCGAAAGCGGGACACACAATCCCTAGACTGGAGCTGTGTGCAGCCGTATTGGCTATAGAGATAGCAAAAGTAATCTGTGCTGAAGTCGATATACCTTCTCAGGAGGTGACCTATCATTCGGACAGCAAGGTAGTCTTAGGATACCTAAACAACACAACTAGGCGTTTTCATACATACGTAGCAAACAGGGTGTTTAAAATCTTGCAATTTTCTGATCCCCATCAATGGAAGTTCGTTCATACAAGCAAGAACCCTGCGGACCATGGGACACGCCAGGTAGCTGCAAGAAACATGAAAGATTGTCCATGGCTTAAAGGTCCTCATTGTTCAGTATTCAACGTAAATGTACCAGAATGGTTTCCCTTGGTAAGTCCTCAACAGGATAAAGAACTCAGACAAGAGGACAAAGTGATTGTTATGAAGACAAATTTACATGAATTTTGCCTTTTGGAAAGAGCCAACAAGTTTTCATCTTGGGAAAGCTTGATTAGGCCCATTACTCTACTTATACATGTGGCTTGTTCATTCCACTACAAAAGTAACGATGATCATTGCAAAGGGTGGCACCATTGCCGTCTGAATGATATAGCTCTAAAACAGAGAGCAGAGAAGTTGATAATTAAACAGGCACAAGAAAAATTCTATCAACGAGAACTGAGAAGCCTGAAAAGCAACAAACCGCTACCCAACGACTCATCAATACTATCACTGGCTCCCATGCTTAATGAAGATGGGTTAATCTGTGTTGGTGGGCGACTCAGGAAGGCGACTCTTCCAATTATCATGAAGCACCCTATTGTCGTACCGGGTAAGTGTCACATTGCAACTTTACTAGTAAGACACTTCCACCATAATATATATCACCAGGGCAGACAGTTTACTGAAGGAGCAGTGAGAGAAGCTGGGTATTGGGTAGTTGGGTGTAAAAAGTTGGTATCTTCTATCATCCATCATTGCGTAACCTGCAGAAAGTTAAGAGGAAAGCTCAGTATCCAGCGTATGGCTGATTTACCCAGTGATAGGATTACATGTGTCCCACCTTTCACCAATGTAGGGGTCGATTGTTTCGGGCCGTGGGAAGTGACAGCCAGAAGAACGAGAGGAGGAGTAGCTTTAAATAAACGGTGGGCTGTGATGTTTTCGTGCCTTACCTCAAGAGCCATCCACATTGAAGTAATTGAGACGATGAGTAGTTCTTCATTTATAAATGCGATGAAGAGACTAATAGCCATCAGAGGAGCAGTTAAGGTATTTAGATCTGATCAGGGGTCTAATTTCATTGGTGCAATTGGAGATGATACAGTCCAAACGTATTTGCTTAAGAACAATGCCGAGTGGCATTTAAATCCTCCACATGCCTCTCACATGGGAGGATCATGGGAGAGGATGATCGGAGTAACAAGAAGAATTCTAGATGGCATATTAATTAAACATAAG